TCTTGTACACTGCAAACTTGTTAAACTAATTTATTACTTCTAATTGTTTTTTTTAAAAAATAGATTCCATTGCATTTTCTATATAGATGATCAGGTGACCTGAAGGTAAGCCATTTTAGTTCTTCCTTTCTAAGTTAGGTGACTTTTATTTCTCTTTGCATTGGCTAAAACCTTCACTGTTGAATAGAACTGGTGAGAGCGGACATCTTGCTTCTGGTCACAATGGGAAAGCATTTAGTCTTCTACCATTAAAAATGGTAGAGAAGGGGCTTCCCTGGTGGCTCAGTGGTTGAGAGTCCGCCTGCTGATGCAGGGGACACGGGTTCGTGCCCCGGTCCGGGAAGATCCCACGTGCCGCGGAGCGGCTGGGCCCGTGAGCCATGGCCGCTGAGCCTGCGCGTCCGGAGCCTGTGCTCCGCAACGGGAGAGGCCACAACGGTGAGAGGCCCGCATACCACAAAAAAAAAAAAATGGTAGGGAAGGCAGCTATGCTCACCACTATACCACCAACGCACACCAAACATAAAATAGATAGCTAGTGGGAAGCAGCCGCATAGCACAGGGAGATCAGCTCGGTGCTTTGTGACCACCTAGAGGGGTGGGATAGGGAGGGTGGGAGGGAGGGAGACGCAAGAGGGAAGAGATATGGGAACATATGTATATGTATAACTGATTCACTTTGTTATAAAGCAGAAACTAACACACCATTGTAAAGCAATTATACTCCAATAAAGATGTTTAAAAAAATGGTAGGGAGTTCTTTTCTATTTTACTTTGTTGAGATTTTATCAGGAATGGATGTTGAACCTTGTCAAATGCTCTTTCTATGCCTATTAAGATGATCATATGGTTTTCTTTTTTAGCTGGTAAACATGGTGTATTATATTGATTGTGATCATATGGTTTTCTTTTTTAGCTGGTAAACATGGTGTATTATATTGATTGATATATGGATGTTAAAACAACTTTGCATTCCTGGAATAAACTTCACTTTGTCATGATGAATTATCCTTTTGATATTGGTTGTACTCAATTTGTTAAAATTTTGTTTAGAATTTTGGATCTATGTTCATGAGCCTATAGTTTTTTTCTCTTCTAAATTCTTTGTTTCCTAACTCATTAGAGTAAGTTAGGAAATGCTTCCTTATTTTCAGTTTCTTAGAAGACTTTGTGTAGAACTAGTAACATTTCTACAATACAGGCACAGTTTAGCAGAGGGTGCCTCTGGCTCGGGGTCTCTCACAAGTATACCCCTTGGTGAGCCATGACTGCAGTCCTCCAAGGCTCGACTGGGGGAAAATCTGCTTCCAAGCTTATTCACACTGCTCTTAGCAGGACTCAGAAGATCTATGTTGAAGCTCACTGACATGGCTGTTAATAAGCCTCAGGTCCTTGATGGCCACAGACTGGAAACATCAGCTCCTGGCCATGTGGGCCTCTCTGCAGGGCAGCTCACAAAATGGAAGGAGGCATCCCTCAGAGTGAGTGAGTGAAAGAGTGAGAGGGATCCAAGTTGGAAGCCATAGTCTTTTTGTAACCTTATCCCAAGTGACTAATAAGCAAATCAGTCAGTCTAGCCCATACTCAAGAAGAGATTTCACAATATTGTGACTACCAGGAGGTAGGACTTATTGGAGAATACTTTAGAGACTGCCTACCAAAGTTGTTCATGATATCAACTTATTTTCCTTCTAATATTTATAGAATCTTTAGTGATGACAGCTCTCTCTCCCTTACTTGGGTAGTTATATATTCTCTTTTTTTTTTCCTGGTCACTTGGTCTAGAAGTTGGTCAATCTTATTGATCTTCATAAAGTTTTTGGTTTTGCTATTTATATCTGTTGCTTTTCTGTTTTTCATTTTATAAGTTTCCACTTTGATTTTTATTATTCCTTTCTTCTGTTTATTTGGGGACTCATCTGCTCTTGTTTTCTGTTTTGTAAGGTGGATCTTTCTTCTTTATAATATGGAGTTTAGTGCTCTAATTTCCCCTGAAGTACTGCTTTAATGGCATCCAAAAATTTTTGATATATTGTGTTTTCACCTTCATTCAGTTGAAAATACTTTCTAGTTTCCCTTCTGATTTCTTCTTTGACCGTGGGTTACTTTAAAGTGTTCTATTTAGTTTCCAAATATTTCAGAATTTTCCAGAGATCTCTCTGTTATGGATTTCTAATTTAATTCCATTCTGGTCAGAGAACATACTTTGTATAATGTGCATCCTTTTAAATTTAATAAGATCTTCTCTATGGCCCAGAAGATGATCTATCTTGGTAAATGTTCTGTGTGTACTTGAAAAGAATGTGTATTCTGCTGCTGTTGGGTGTAGGATTATACAAATGTCAATTAGGTCAAGTTGGTTGATGGAGTTGTTTAAGTCTTCTGTATCTTTACTGATTTTCCCTTGTAGACTACATTTTAAAATGTTATCAAAAATGCAGTATTGGGGACTGAACTTGAACATTGCTACATTATTTTTATTTTATTAAAATGTTTTCCTTACTCTGGCACATGCATGCATGTGTGTGCACACACAGAGTCACAGTCACAAATTTAGAGACCACAGAACTGGAGTGAAATGAGGCATCTAACTGTGATGCTGCACCTTTGAACAAATTTTACTATTTAAGAAAGCACTTTTGAAACTGGGTTATTTTATGTTTCCTTGTCTGACCTTGTAAGCTACTTAACTGCAAAATGTGTTTTTACTCACAGTGCCTCTTAATATGTTATTTTTTATGCCAAGTCATGCTCCTGCTGCAAGCAAGACAGGGAACAAAGTCTTTAGTAGAATGAAACAAATATAGGTGCTTCTACTATAACACTGTTTACAAGTGTTCAGACATATAAATGCTTTTAAAAAAAACCTCTCATTCTACAAAATTGTGGATAAAAGTAATGGCTTACGGGAAAAATAATGTGGGGCCATAACATATGAAACACATTTAACTTTGTAACCAGAATACTAATAAAAAATAATAATTATCTCAATTAAAATACTAGTACTCAGTAAATGTCCACTACCACTTGTACCCAGGATCACAGCTGATTCTTACAGCCTTAAATCTGCAAGACATAGGTCCTTAAGGGCATTCACCTCCAATAGATAACATTGTCATCAAAATCTAATTTGGATCTGTGTTTTCTTCAGCAATCAATTGTTTTTAAATACGAGGGAAATGTCTTCTTCATGTCTTCACCTACTCCTGCAACTTCATCAGATAAGGTCACACTGTAGGTAGAATACCAGTTCTTGAAGCCATTAAACCAGCTACTGCTTGCACTGCTATCATAGTATTCTTAGCTTAAGGCTTCCTTCTTTAACTGTAAGAAAGCTTGCCCCTGGATGCTTCAAACTATTGATTAGCTGGGGAAAAAATTACATATGAACCAATGATATTATTTTCTTATTTGCCAATTGGGTACTAACTTGCATCATAGAAATGTGTTATAACTGAAAATAGTATACTCTGTAGTTTTCTAACCTTGGAATGTGTGATTTTCCTAGTCATTTTCTTGGCAGCAGCTACTGCTGGGATTTAAATCTCCTTACTCCCAGGATCACTGAAAACATATTTACTGAGCACTTACTATGTTCCAGTCTGTTCTAAATGCTGGAAACAGTGGTGAGCATGACAGACAAGGTCCTTGTGTTCACAGACTTTACATTCTGGTGGGGGATGCAGACAATAAACAGGTAAATCAATAAATATGGTATTATCAGAGAGTGATACTTGCTATGAAGAAAATAAAACAGGGTGATGGGATACGGCATGAGACATAGGGGGTTGGGTGGCCATTCTGTAGAGACACTACCTTAGATAGGATGATCAGGGAAATCCTCCCTGAAGAGATGACATTTGAGACAAGACCTATCAGATGAGAAGGAACTAGTCATGGGACGATCTGGAAAAGACTGTCAGGCAGTGGGAACTGTAAAGTGACGGTAAATCAAAGGCCTTAAGATGGGAGTGGGCTTAGTGTATTTGAGGAACAGAATGAAAAGTGGCTGGGGAAGCTTCAGGGGTGCACCCAGGGCCAAGTGCCACTCCTCACTGCCATGCTGAGGTTGACCCAGCAGATCAAGCCACTGCTGCCTAACAGTTCCATGTCCTCCAAGCCTCAGATGGCCAGTGGCACCCCAAAATGCCTGCAGACAAATCCAACTGACTGACCCTCATCTGAGTGCCAAACCCAGGCAACGGAGCATAATACACTTAATCGCCACAAAATGTCAGGCTGCTGTGGGGACAGGCGAGTTTAGCATCTCTGAGGGGGTTGTTGAAATCTGACATGGGCTCCATCCAGAAATCACCTGTAGACCAGGGAGAGAAGGCTGGAGCAGGGCTTCTCAGGAGGGAGCCTGGGATAGCTGGGGCAGGAGGACGGCACAGAGTGGGAGAGATGGGGTGGGCCTTGAGGGAAGGACTGGATACCACTGAAGGAAAGATTCTGCAAGTCCCTTCAGAAAAAAGCCATCACTTTGTTTCTTTTGTCAGTCCTGAGTGCCATACGCCCTTACCTGGATGAGCCAGTGACTTTCCAACCAGTCACAATTGTCTAGCAGAATAGCCAGGTAGTGGGGATTCACTATTTTTACGGAAACCTTAGCTTACCCAGACTGGTTCCAATTGTGCTGCCATAAACTTTAATGTTGCTTTGGAATATTTCTCTACGTGCTCTCTATTTTTAATACAAATACCTCATCTTCTCGGAAAGATCTCACCATCCTTTATGAGGAGAGACTCTTCATTCTCTTCTTTGGATATCCTTGTAGTAGTTAGCACAAGAGTGGGCCAGACCTCTCTCCTTCTCAAGAGGGAATTGTACTGAAAGGCCAGGCCTCCTTCAGGGACAGCTTCTCACATAGTTTAATGCCACAGTAGAACACAAGCTTTGCTGATACCAGCCAGCAGCTCGTGGTGCCAAAATGACACTAACACTCTGGGTTTCATGTTTCAGGCAACGAGATATGAGAAACTAGGCATGGGCCTGCTTACCTGTTCTTCCTGCAGCGAATTGTAAAGCCAAGAAAGAAGGCTATCAGCAGAAGTCCACAGCTGAGGAAAGTCCAAACAACACCCAAGAGGGCAGGAGATAATGAAGAAATGGTCTTACTGCTGTGGTGGGAAGAGGTCTGAGAAGAGAATGAAGAGAAGCTGTTAGGAACGAAGGCTCTTCTATAGATCAAACATGAACTGCCCCCATCACCTCCAGAGCTGGGACATAATGTCCTGCATAAGCATTTCCTCCTCGTACTTCTCCCCCCTCCACCACCACTACCATCATCAACAATAATAACAATAACGTGTACATCTAAGCAGCCCTGACACCCCATGGCTGCTCACTTACAATTGTTGTCCTGCAGAGATCATGAAGGGGTCTCCGCTCCAGCTCCTGGCCAGGAAAACCATCACACAATTCAGAGCAGTTTATTTCAGGCTCCATGTCATCATATGCCCCTCTTGGTATGTGCTTATTCACAGTCTTGGTTACCCACCAGTAGATAACCAGAAGATCTTTGAGTAAAACAGAAAAGCAACTCAAATCTTTTCTTCAGAGGTGCCATTTTGAAGCTGGCTCCTGGTGCAGAATCTGGGACGAACAATCCATTCTGGTGAAAGTGGAGAGTTATTTCACTAAGCTCCTTCATCAGACACCCTCCAGGCTCTCCTCGTCCCCTGCTGCCAGTGCAGACCATGTGAGTCAAGAGTGGGCATCTTAGTAACCATGAAGTCACACACTGCGATGATTCTGGCTTGCCACCAGATGGCAGTCGCTGCTCCAAGTACTCTCACACAGGTCTCAAAGGAGAAGAAAGCAATTAAGCCTGTTAACAAACAAATGTTACTTATATATAACACACACAAATAAACACAAACACACACATATATGTAAATGGCTTATTACAGAGGTTTAAAATATTTTACACATTTTAACTATATATTTTTATTATATGTAGTTATATACATTATATATAACAAAGGTTTAAAATATAGTATATATTTAAATAAATATATTTCAAAACCTCTTTAATAAACAATACTTTAAAAACAAAGACAAAGCACACCTAACAATTTATAGATATACAGCTCTACAGTCCCTCTTCTGATCCCTTTTATGGTCCAGCACTACAAGAATTTTAGTTTCAATATGTGAACCCATCTTCTTTTTTTCCCTAGTGGCAACCCCCCTGCCCTTCAAAGATCTTTCTATGCAACTTAGGGATTAAGCTCTGTCTGATCCTGGGTGGTGGTAGGCTCAGGTGCCCCATACTGTCTGCATACATTGTCTGTTGGTTGGTCCTGTTCACTCCTGTTAGCTCAGTGAAGGGAGGAACATTCTATGCCCAGTCAGCTGGAATCTCAAAAGGATATGCAAGCCCTTTGCCAAGAGTTTTCTGTTTGTTTATTTTTTAACTGTTAGACTACTAGAAGTGGGATAGGCTACTCAGGTAATAGGGAGAGAAACTGCGGGTTCTAAGAATTCCCACAGAGTGAGCAAGTGGCCAGAGGATGGTGTTATTTCTCTCAGAAGGTGATTGCAATATGAATACTGTGATCTAAAAAAAAGCTCTACCTTGCAGGGCTTCCCTGGTGGCGCAGTGGCTGAGAATCTGCCTGCTAATGCAGGGAACATGAGTTCGAGCCCTGGTCTGGGAGGATCCCATATGCCACGAAGCAACTAGGCCCATGAGCCACAACTACTGAGCCTGCGCGTCTGGAGCCTGTGCTCCACAACGGGAGAGGCCGTGACAGTGAGAGGCCCGCGCACCGCTATGAAGAGTGGCCCCACTCGCCACAACTGGAGAAAGCCCTCGCACAGAAACGAAGACCCAACACAGCCTAAAATAAATAAATAAATTTAAAAAAAAAAAAAAAAAAAAGCTCTACCTTGCAGAACAAAAGTAGAAATGCTCAAAAGTAGAGAGGCTTAAATTAACTCCAGCAGAAAAGGCAGACATGTCCCCAATACTTTGAAGCAATCTATCCCATAACAGAGAAACAGATTTGAAATTTTACCAGTGGGAATTTAAAAAAGGATGCCACTTCTGCTTTGTGTTTCTGAAACAGCTTAGCACAGTTTTCTTTTATTATGGAGGAAACTTGGAAGAGGAAAAAAAATCAATTATTATTATTCCAATGGCCACTGAATACAGGACTTGTGTTTAAGCCAGAACAATAGTGACTGGTGTAGAATGCCATCTTTGGATTCTGCACGCTTAGACATGAACAATATAGCACCAGGTGCTGCCCATATATTGGCCTCTCATATCGCCCTGAATTATTTACCAGGCTCATTACAATGAAATCCCAAGAGAACTAAAAGCCACTACCTCCTGTCAAGACATTTAAATTCTTGTGAAGTCTGATCAGATTACTGAATGCAAAATTAAGGAGTAAATATAAAAATCTGACTATTTGCATCTTAATTTAGTTGAAAATTTAATTGCTAAAAAGATAATATTTTTTTCTTAAAAGTTAGACATCCCCTATTGTGCTTTCTAGCATAGAGCAATACTGGAAGCCACAGGGAGGACTATGTGATGGATTGAAAAATATATTTTTCCTATATTGCCCTTTTAATCATACTGGCAAATAAGTACACTTACATTTAAACCATTATTAAGTCCCTGTCTGTGTATCCTTACATCATATAGATGTGTGTGTGTATATACATAAAACCTCATTTTGTTCTCACAACTGTGTCATGTGAGGTAAACAAGACATCTCCTCGTTTTCACATAAGAAAACTGAAGAGCAGAAAAGTGGAGAATCTTGCTCCAAATCTGCAGAGGCGGGACTCAAATCCAGGAGTTTAACTGAAAGGTCAATGTTAATACCCAGTTAATACCCTGCATGGGGCAGACACCCTGGACTGACCTCACCCCAAGAAGACACCAATGGCCTGTTAGGTTTCTTCATGTTTAGTTCCCAGAACTTCACATCTATGGGATCTCTGGAGTGTGGCCCACAACAGTATGTCTATATCAGTAACTCTCAACTGGGGGAATTTTGCACATCCAGAGGACATTTGGCAGTGTCTGGACACATTGTGGTTGTCAAAACTGAGAGGAAGGTGCTACTGATATGTGGTAGGTAGAGGCCAGGGATGCTGTTAAACATCCTACTTTTCACAGAATGGTCCAAATAACAAAGACTTATCCAGCCCCAAACGTCAGTAATGCTAAGGTAGAGAAACCCTGGTCAACGCTGTGGATCTCAGAAGGGCTAACAACCTTAAGCCCAAATCATCTTTGGGAGATTCTGTGAACATGATAGGATTGTCCAGCTGAACATAAATTTCTGAGTAGATTCTAAAGGTCACCTTGGACAGACTGAACTCAACTGGCATGGAACTTTGAATGCTAGGCACCCCTCCAGTCCATGGATATCCAGTGTAAGAACTTTATAAACAATGATACTAGGCTCTTCCACGGGGCAGGCATTCAATTATAACATTAGCACACATTTACAGAGATTCACACATGAAGGAGTGGTGAAACAATGAATGGCTTAGTTATTGAGAGGACAGAGTTGAATGATTTCAAAAAGTATTGAGTGATTGGGAAAGTGGGTGGGAAGTAATGTGTCAGAGGGGATAATAGTGAGGCATTTGACCATAAGATAGATACAGAGGCCAAGGCACAAAGAGAAAGGTCTGCCAGGCTCCTCCAAGAGCAATTCCCGCCCCCACCAAAGTCTATAGAGGTAAACTGTCTAGTCCACAGACAGTAGTAGGCCCAAGAAGATGAAATGGTAGGGCTTACAATTTATTTGACAGAATCCTGCCCAGTGATTAGGATCAGCAAAACAGATACTGCATCAACTACAATGTTCCAAAGAGCAAGATGGTCCTTTACAGGTTCACAACTCTCAACAGCCCCATATCTTTCCACAAAAGTCTACCCTATTCTTTCTACACATTATTTCTGGCTACTGAAAAACTAGTCCTACAATTACTGTCTTTTAAAAATTTGTTTTGTAGTTGGTACAACTTCTGCTTCTGTTCATGAAGAATTAACTGCTATGGGAATTGCCGTCCTGCTGTAAACACGTCGAAAACCAGACAAAATATACAAAGCAACTCTTACCAGATATTGGATAACAGATTTCACAGGACTTTGGAAAACAAATGAGGTGAACCTACAATTGACTGACAGATATAGAGTGAAATATAAATAAATAAACATATCCTTCCAGTGACAATAATTGATCCCAAGTTACTGCCTGAAGACAGTTCCCAGGCTACAGCACAAGGAGGGAAACCCAAAGAGAGCCTAGAAGTCTTGCTGAGGTAAGGAGAATAGATTGCACTTTAGGGACATCAGGCAAACAAATTTGTGAGGCAGAGTAACGAAGAAGACGGAGATACCAAGAAAGAGAGTGCTTTGGAAACCTGCAGGGGATCCTCTCAGTCTTTTTCTGGGTATTGATCTAGGCATGAGTGAGAGGTAACTACTTGAAGTGAAAGAAATAACCACTGGTAGGCAGTAGCTGAACATTTCCTGGAGTTCACACAGGGTTGGGAATACTTTGTGTTCCCACCAGCCAGAGTGGAGAGACCTCATAATATACAGGACATTGGATACAATTCTCAGAAAAAAATGGGACTAAATAAACCCTAGACTAGAAACTACTCTGGACCTTCCCTAATAATGCTCAAAAGTAAGCCTTAAAAGGATCAGATTGATCCACAAAAAACTTAACTGCATTCCAGAACAAAATACAATGTTGGTTCAAGGAATACAAGAGCCAGTACTCAACAACATAAAATTCAAAATGTCCATCATCAATAAAAAATTACCAGGCATGCAAAGAAGTAAGAAATAAGACCTATAACAATACACTTTAAAAATTCAATAAAAACATACAGAGGGGCTTCCCTGACAGTCCAGAGGTTAGGAAGCCGCACTTCCACGGCAGGGGGCACAGATTTGATCCCTGGTCAGGGAATTAGGATCCTGCACCCTGTGCAGTGCAGCCAAAAAATAGAAAAAAAATACAGAAATAACAGAAATAATATAATTGGCACGAGGCCTTTTTTTTTTTTTTTTTTTGCGGTACGCGGGCCTCTCACTGTTGTGGCCTCTCCCGTTTCAGAGCACAGGCTCCGGACGCGCAGGCTCAGCGGCCATGGCTCACCCCAGCCGCTCCACGGCATGTGGGATCTTCCTGGACCAGGGCACGAGCCCGTGTCCCCTGCATCGGCAGGCGGACTCTCAACCACTAGCGCCAGCAGGGAAGCCCACATGAGGACTTTAAGACAACTATTATAAATATGCTCAAAGATATAAAACAGAACATAAACAAAATGAAAGGAGAAATGGAGAATATATTTTAAAAACCCAAACAGAATTCTAGAGATTAAAATGCAATTACAAAATTAAAAATATAGATTAGACACTCCAAAAATAAAATATTGGTGATCCACCAGAGGGGAGACAGCAGAAGCAAG